TCTGGGGGTGGCGGGGGAAAGGTGGGGGGCAGAGTAGCCCTGTACAAATTTATCAGAAAGCGTTTCCTCCTGAGTACAGCTGAGCTGATCAAGTAGCCAAGTAAAAGCTGGATCCAGAGAGAAGAAGGAGCACTTCGGAATTAGGCTTTGTTTCCAAAATCACAACGCGGTTGCTGCTGCCTTCTAGTTTAGGAAACATTAGCTTAAAGTTTGCCCTGGAGGTTTCTCTCCTTTGAACTGGCGTTCAGACAATCCCACCGTTTATAAACTGCCCTATTACGCCGTTCCTGGATGGTCTTCAGAAGTGCCAGGTGACCAAGAAAACGTGACGCATTTCTTTTAAATTCTAAGCAACCCTTGTTTATGCTCATGCAGGACAGTATTTTGGAAAAGATGGAGAAAAGCTGCTTCGGAATACATGGGAATATTAACGTGGTGCCTGTGTTTTTTCTCAGGATTATGGTGCAAGTCTGGGAAAAGATTCAGCTGCTTTAAAAATAATAAGATAAGGGTCATCGTTTTCCCACTTACATATTGCAAAACATATTTTTGGAATTAAATTGAAATCATTAGACAGCCCTACTTGATATTATTTGCTTATCCCTACCTCCCTACCCCTCCTTCCGTTTTTGTAAAATAAATGGTTGAGATTTTGTTGTCCAAATAGAGGGAACTTTATAAGCTTTTTTTCTGGCTTCAGAGATTTCATCAAAAACCATCTTGCCAGACTTCTTTCCCAGCTCTTGATCTAAACGTTTCCCAATTATTTTAAAGAAGAAATTCTCACAAAAGTGATTTTTGTGTGCACTGTTATTTGGCTATCTTTGCAAAACAAAGAATGATTTTCTGCTTAAAGAACAGAATTTAGGCAGAAATTGTTTATGTTATTCCCACTTCTCCTTTAGAAAAGCAGAAGGGAGAAATGACTGTGAATTGAAGAATTAAAAAAAAAGAGATTTGCTTTAAAAAAAGAAATGCTTCTAAGAACAACAGTGATGCATTATTTCTTCCTTCTCAGGTACTGACTGATTCATTGCAGTTTCTCCATTGATGGATTGGTAGAAACGTTTCTGATTGGATTGAAATTGGAGGTTCTACCTATAATTTGCAACTTGAGCTTTGTATCTACTGATTTTCCTAGCTATAGCTATTATTTGCTGCTTTATTATTTCCAGTGCTTCCTTGATCTTCCTTGTTTCTAAGTGGTATTTCTTGATTAGGTATTCTTTCGTCTTCTTGTTCTTCAGCTTCTTTTCTTTCATCTGTTCTAGCTTGCTTGCATGTGATCTTAATTTGCTGATCTTATTTTCTAGCCTAACCTTCCATTTTTGTGATGCATTGTTTGTTTGTTTTTCTTCTTTGTTGATTTTGCATCCCAGGTATTCAGTTATAACTGCAGCTGTGCTATACATTGTTTGGTTTGTTTCTTGCAGTGAATTGGTGCTTATACTTGACATTGCAGTATTTGCATCTTTTAATGCTTGTGCTAGCTGTTTCTTTGGAACAAGCTTCAGTGCAGGCAGCCTTATTCTGTTGTTTTTGTGCTAGATGCTCAGTTATTCTTTGTTTCAATTCTTTTATTTCTTTAGTTAGAGTGCTTTGTTCTTCCTGAGGAAGAGGTGCCTGGTTTCCAAATGAGAACAGTTGTATATCTCTACTGGATTCTTTCACTGCCAACTCCCCCTGGTTTGCCTCTACATTCTGAATTACTTCTGGCAAGACTTTGATTTCTTTGCCCTGGGTAAACCTTCGCAGTTCATCCAATTCTGTTTCTCTGAATACTTTATTTTGTATTATAAATTGGCGTTAATCTGCTAGTCTCTTTTCTGTTATTTCTGATTCTGGATGTTGTTCATTCCAGAACTGGTGCATTCGTTTTAGATATCCTCTTCTTGTTGGACTTGATCTGTAATAACAAATCATTATTTGTTTTCAATCACTGTGTATTTGTGACAGGTAAAATCCTTTTCTTCCAGTAGTTCTGCAGCTGTTGGCTCTGATTGCTCAGCTAACAGTCCTGAGTCCTGTAACCCATTTTTCACCAGATATCCAGGAACTCCAACATCTAGTGTGGACCTTGTTAACCCGGGCAACATCCGAGCTGGTATGGCATTCTGAAATTTATGTCTCACCATATTTTTTATGGGAGAGACACTCTTTGTCTGACTCCTTTGATGAGACCTGTCTAGTATGGTTGAACCTCTGGCATAGCTCTCATCGTCCTCAGAGTACACAAGCCCCACAACCACATCAAGGTATTATTATTATTATTATTATTAACAGCAACAGCAACAGCAACAAATAACAAAACAACAAAACAGCAATATAATAATAATAGTAATAATAATAATAATAATAGTAAATAGGCATGGATTGACTACAAAAAGGCATTTGACTCTCTGCCACATGACTGGATAATCAAGTGCCTAGAAATAACAGGAGTCAGTAGAAACATCAGAAAATTTGTGCAAAGATCGATGACACAATGGAAGACACAGTTGCAGATCTGGGAGAGGTTAATATCAAGAGAGGAATATTTCAAGGAGATTCATTGTCTCCATTACTATTTGTTATTGCACTGTTTCCTCTGTCAACAATACTGAATAACTCAGGACATGGCTATCAAACATCAAAAACATCTACCAGACTATCTCACCTCCTTTACATGGATGATCTGAAGCTGTATGGAAAAACATCATCTGAAATAGAATCGCTGCTCAACACTGTCCAGATATATAGCCAAGATATTGTTATGGAGTTTGGCTTGGATAAATGTGCCACACTTACTATCAAACAAGGAAAAGTAGTGAAAACTGAAAGAATCAAGATGCCCCACGAAAATAACATTAAGAGTCTGGATGAGGAAGATTACTACAAATACTTGGGTATCATTCAAGCTGACAACATCAAGCACACTGAAGTCAAGAAAAAGATTAGAGGTGAATACATCAAGAGAGTGAAGAATATCTTAAAGTCCAAACTCAATGGAGGAAATACCATAAAGGCAATCAACACCTGGGCAATTCCAGTCATTAGGTACACAGCTGGAATAGTGGACTGGACTCAAGCAGAACTAAAAGCAATGGATGGGAAGACCAGAAAAAATGACAATGAATCATGCCCTTCATCCACGCAGTGACATAGACAGACTTTATCTACCAAGGCAAATAGGTAGGCGTAGAATGCTACAAGTACATCAGGTGGTTGAAGAAGAAAAAATGGCTTTGGAACAATATCTGTAGAACAATGATGAAGATGCACTGAAATTAGTATATCAGGAAGGCTTACTGACTACTGGAGAGACCAAACTGGCCTACAAGAAAGACCAAATGAAGAATAGAATAGAGGCATGGGAAGACAAAGCACTACATGGCCAATACATTAAAAAAATAGCTGGGAAAGCAGATAATAACAAGACCTGGCAATGGCTAAGAGCAGGAAAACTGAAGAAAGAGACCGAGGGACTAATTCTGGCTGCACAAGTCCAAGTCTTAAGGACAAATGCATATAAAGTCAAAATTGAGAAGAAAGCAACAGACAGTAAGTGCCGCCTATGCAAACACGCTGAAAAAACAGTGGACCACCTGGTAAGCTGCTGCAAGAAGATCGCACAGACTGACTACAAGCAGTGGCATGATAAAGTAGCAACAACAGTGCATTGGAAGATCTGCAATAAATATCATTTGCCTGGTGGGATCATAAAATAGAGAAAGTCATAGAAAATGATAAAATTAAACTGCTCTGGGACTTCAAACAGACAAGCAACATAACACCCCAGACTTAACAATTGTCGATAAGAAAGACAAAAAAGTCTGGATGGTGGACGTGGCAGTGCCTGGATACAGCAAAATAGATGAGAAAGAACTGGAGAAGATAACAAAATACAAAGACCTACAAATAGAAATAGAAAGACTATAGCAAAAGCAAGCAAGGGTAGTACCAATAGTGATAGGCTCCTTGGGTGCAATCCCAAAACAACTGGAGCACCACTTGAACACCATTGGCATTGATAAATTCGCTATTAGTCAATTGCAAAAGGCGGCCTTACTAGGAACTGCTTCCATCCTGCGACAATATCTGTAATACCATCAAACATCCACATCTGCCTATCCCAGGTCCTGGGTAAGGACTTAATAGGTAAGACAAAATGCCAAATCCAGTCTGAACATCTGGCTGACTGTGCGATGATCCATAATAATAATAATGTTGGAAGGGACCTTGGTGGTCATCAAGTCCCATCCCCTGCTCAGGCAGGAAACCCTATACCATTTCAGATAAGTGGCTGTCCAGTCTCTTCTTAAAAACTCCAGTGTTGGAGCATTCACAGCTTCTGGAGGCAGGTTGTTCCACTGGTTAATTGTTCTGTCAGGAAATTTCTCCTTAGTTCTAGGTTGCTTCTCTCTTTTGCTAGTTTCCCTCTGTTGCTTCTGCCACACATCTGTTCCTGTCACACATCTGCCTCTCCATTGACCCAGGAACAGACCCATTGGAGCACTTCTGACATTCCAAGATGTTTTAAAAGAAAGGATGCTTTTGAAAAGAGAATCAGACACAAAGCACCAGAGCCCCTACGGCCCTCTTTATTTCCATGGAGTTCAGAGAAAATAAAAACGGCAAGCAACATATTCAGCAGTTTATTAAAGGTGTAGCCCTAGCTAAAATAAACAGTAAGATAAATGGAGTGGCAGGAAACCAACTTGTCTTCCAATAAAATTGGCTCATGAGTTATCATGGGAATATCACGGGGAAACTGTTGACTTACAATAGTACGTTTAAGAACCATTATAACGGTAGTGGGGGAAAAAATGACTTATGACCGTTTTTCACAATTACAAACCTTGCAGCATCCCCATGGTCACGTGATCAAAAATCAGATGCTTGGCAATTGACTCGTATTTATGACAGTTGCAGTGTCCTGGCGTCAAGCGATCCCCTTTTGCGATCTTCTGAAAGTCAGTGGGGAAGTCAGACTCGCTAAAGAACCATGTTACTAACTTATCAACTGCAGTGGTGCACTGAACAACTCTGGCAAGAAAAGTCGTAAAATGGGGCAACGTTCCCCTAACAAATGTCTCACTTAGCAACAGAAATTTTGAGCTCAATTGTAGTCGTAAGTCGAGGAGTACCTACATTTGGTTGCCCGGTTTTCTGTTTGAACAGTTCCCATGGAGATTGTTATATTCCACAAATCAACTTCTGAAATGTGTTCCATTGGATGATTTCACACAACGGGCTTAATTTCTTTTCACAACTACAGGCCACACTAGGAAATACTTTTTTTTTTCTTTTAAAGAAGGTGACGATGATAGCAAATGATTTCTGCATGCTTTTCAAAAAGCCTGCTTGGTTCTGGATCCTACTCAGTTCAAAAATGTACCTAACCTAAGTAAAATGCATTGAACCATGAACTAAAGACACTAAAGACAAACTAGCCCAAGTTAAAATTAACCAGGCATAGTTGCTGTGTGGATGCACCCGAGTTTGTAACTGACCCGCTAAGCTTCCTTTGTGAGCACACACACTTTTTGCTGAGCCCTGTTGTGATGGCGTTTGATTTAGCCTGCTCTGGGACAAAGCCATTGTAATCTAGAAATTATAGTTTATATGCAACATAGCAATAGCACTTAGACTTATATACCGCTTCACAGTGCTTGACAGCCCTCTCTAAGTGGTTTACAGAGTCAGCCTATTGCCCCCAACAATCTGGGTCCTCATTTTACCCATCTCAGAAGGATGAAAGGCTGTGTCAACTTTGAGCCAATGAGAATTGAACTGCTGGCAGTCGGCAGAATTAGCCTGCAATGCTGCATTCTAACCCCTGTGCTGCCACCACAGCTCTTGTTGTATAAACATGTTGTATAAACCCAGCCAACCACATATTTTCCAACAGCAACCATAATTTGGTACAAAATGCCAGCCAGTTCACAAGTGATACTTTAGCCAGTAACAAAGAACATTCACATCCTCAAGATCTTTTACAGATGGTCCTTTGCTTAGTCCATTAACTCGTTTATGTTCCACTGATTAAATAGTTCTGTGTAATTCCTTTAAAATGTTGAAAGCTCCCATCTGCAGGAGATGAAAGCACTCTGGAACACTTGCTATGAAAGAAAAACAATTCAAGGGTGAATTACTGGCTGTTTGCAGTCAAAGGGTGGGTGTTGTTCGGCATTAGCAGGTGTCACATTCTGATAAATGACCACAACCTAAAGAAATGGGAGATGGAGGTTTTAAGACCATGTGTTTTTGTACTTTTATTTTTATTGCATTGTAAGGCATGCAGAGTCACTTTGGATAGTGAGAGGATGGCATATCAATTTAATAAAACAAATACAATTAAATTTTTATCCATATATTTCTCATTCCACAGCTCAGAATAGAGGTCCTCAGCTTTCCAAAAGCCTACTGAACTGCTTCTGTTTGTCCTTGTTTCAAATAAAGCACTTTGATTCCATTCTGAAGGTGGAATCTGGATTCTCACTTGAGAATAAAGATAGCACTGCCCCTCTTTAAAGCAGCTGCATCCTTTTCCATTTTGCATGTCTGGAGCTGCCTCCCAAGTCCCTGAAAAAGATCCAGCTGCTTTAAAGACCTCAACACAGCTGCTGGGTTCAAGTTCCTACAGATAGCAAAGCAATTTTTGAATTTCACTTTGAAGTGCTGTCTGAATCATGTGTAGATCATTGGGCAGGGGAAATCTTATATCCTCCCCTGCTAATTAGAGATAAAGGCTGGGCTCACTGAGTTTTCTAAGTTGGTTTGCTTTCTTTAGGTCTATTGCAATATGAGAATCTATCCACTAGTATTCATAATCCACAATTTGCAACATAGCATGGTGCCAGTTTGGTCTAGTCTAATGGTTAAGCACTAGGCTAGAAAACGGGACACCATGAGTTGAAGTCTTATCTTAGCCATGAAAGCCAGCTGAGTGACTTCGGGCTAGTCATACTAGCCCAACCCACCTCACAGGGTTGTTGTGAGGAAGATAGGAGGAGAAAGGTGTATTTGATATGTTTGCCACCTCGAGTTATTTGTAAAGTAATAAAAGGTGGGAATGAATGAATGAATGAATGAATGAATGAATGAATGAACGAACGAACGTTGTGTGAAACCCAATGGTTACTTTGAGCACACTTAATACAACATGTAAACTAGCATCATATGTTGATTGGCTACTATCTTATTATTATTATTATATTCTGCTATTGACTGCTCATATGCTACTATTCCATATTATTCAACAAAGCATCAGAAAGCCCATGTTTCTGAATCCTTTTGATTAACTACCCATCTTCCTTTGGAATCTTACCGTTTCAGCGAAGGGATCTCGGCAAAGCATCTTACAGCCAAAAGACGCTACTGAGATGGCGATGCAAAACTCCAGGATGGTGAACACAGTAAGAACAACCAATATTCCTTTACCAATATTCTACCAATGAAATAGAAAAGTAACATAGCCATTTTTATGCATACAGATAGGCACATATATCTCCAATTGTAGAGTAAGGAAGATGACCTGGATGAGGTATGCAGGGTTTTGTCTTGTCTGGGTAAAAAGAGGGATGAAGCATTTTTTAAATTAAAAGTAAAGAAATACTGTTTAAAAGTATACTCAGATAGACACCTCCCTAACTGACTGCAGTATACATACGAAGGGGGAAAGAGTGACAGCCCAATCAGACTTGTAACAACAAGTTCGGTTGTTTACAGCCAATGTCTATAAAAATAGTTAGAGACTTCCTGAAGAATTGATTTCCTAGTCTGGTCTCGCTTGAGGGACTCACAAATACCTTCTGGGTATATAGTAAAGGTAGGACATGGTGAACCTATCAAATTTGGTCACAATCTACAAGCAAAAACTGCAACCTGGTTTTGTAAAAAAAAAAAAATTTGGTTAAAAACGGTCAAATGTAAGCCTCAACAATGGAATCAAAGCTCCAGCCAGGTTTGGTTTTTTTTCTATGTCACATATAAAATTCTGGCAAAACTTTGACTGTTCTCTTACTGCTTCAACTTGAATTCTTGGCTATGCCCTATGGATGTGCTAGTTGCAACTGCTTTGAAAGGATTGGGAGGGAAAAACAAACAGAAGAAACAAACTTTAAAAGGCAACATTCCTGCCACTCCTTTCTATGGCTAAATCTCTTTGAGATAGATTTTTGACACCACAAACTCCAAAGTGTTACATCTCCACCTAGAGAACACCATGAGCTCCCTTCTTCTTCTCTGTCCTGTTGAAACCTGGTTCTCACTGATGGATTTTGGAAGGTCACAAACATATAAAAAGGCACACCTCGATTTCATCACATTTTTCCTTAGTGTCATAACCATTATAGTTGCAGTTCCAGGCGAAACTAAATGAATGGATGGGGCTGACTGTGAAAGACAGGACTACGATGCCAACACCAGCTGTAATGGCACTTATCGCATTCATTGCCAGCATGCCTTTCACCTAGGAGGGACAAAATAAATTAATAAACACAAATACACACAAGCACAAACACATTACAAGCACAGATACAGTGACTATAATGCAACCCAGATTTCTCTGAACAGAAGAATTCAGGTGGATTTCAGTTTTGGATTTGCTTTAGCCAGAAAAGGTGAGGCTGGTAGCCTCTACACTCTTGTAAGAATGGGTCAGCTCCTTCGTACCCCTCTCCAGTGGTGCTGTTTGGACACACATTTGCATGCCAGATCCTCTACCTGACCACTGTGGAGGAAGAGAGACAGCTTCAAGATGTTTGCTTCCATGGAAGCCACTGCTTCCACTAACTAGAATATTCAGAGATGGAGACAAGGAACGTCTTTGCCAAAAAGTGGCAAAAAGACATTTCCAAAAGACCTGCAGCCTCCCAAAAGGGAATTCGGGGGACAAGCTCTTAAACAAGAAGCCACAAGCATCATGATCCTCTGTTTGATGTTAGTGATCCAGGAACATCAGAAATCCCCCAAGCTCATGACTGGTAACCCAGTGGCTTGTAGCTCTTCAGATAAAAGGCTTTTAAAGCCATGGCCTTCGCTTCTCTCCAATGGCTTAATTACCAGAGGGATCTTTGGATTCCGAGCAGCTGCCACAGCTAAGGATCCAGAAATTATGTACTGAAAGAAAAGGAAAAGCAAATCAACCTTCTTGGCTCCATCCCCAGAGAACGAGAGTTACAGACTTCTCTCTTCCATCATAGGCCTATCATATCTCTCCCACCTTAATTTGCTCCTTAAGTACTGACATTTTTTGTGCTGAACCTCAATCCAGTGGAAGATACAGCTGCCAGGAGCCACCTTCATAGAACTTTTGTACAACACAGCATAGCAGTAGACTTCAGCTGTGTGTCAGAACCCATTTCTTTGTTAGGGGGGATGGTTCTGTTCCTTTTCGGTTTCTTTCTGTGGGTTCTGTCATTCTCTGGCCATCTGGCTTACCTCTCACTGTGGAAGGGAAAGGTGTGAAGACCCAACAACGTCTTGTCTTCAAGGCATGGGAACTCTGTTATCAGCTCCGTTCCCACAAACTTAACACCTGGGGATTGGCTCATTTGAACTGACCAGATGAACTATTGGGGTGGGGTTTGCTTGATGCACCTTTAACCTATTGATTTGAGTGGGAAACCCTCAGATCCTGCCTTCTTTTCCTGCTGTCAACTTCTCCTAATAAAAGTTCCTTTTGAAATGAAAGTGTTCCAAGAGTCCTGCTTTTTTGGGATGAGGTTTTGAAGCAGGTCCTTACACTATGTCTTTATGATAAAAAAAGCTCTCCAGATGCTGCAAACAACAAATAACTTGCAACCTCCTGCTGGCTTCCCCATTGATTTTGCTTCTCAGAAGCAAACTGTTAAAATCACAAATGGCAATCATGTGTCACGGCATACTGCATTCCAGTTGCTGAATGATTGAATCATGATCACATGACAATGGCCACTGGTCATCAGGACTGGTCATCAGTCCCCTTTGTTCAGCAGCACCATAACTTCAAACAGTCATTGAATGTGGCGGTTGGTTGGTTAGTAAGAACTATCTATACCAGGGGTAGGCAACCTTGGCTCTTTTATGACTCGTGGACTTAACTCCCAGAATGCCTGAGCCAGCCATGTTGAGGGGAAAGGGAGAGGTTTCCATGCTGAGCCATGCTGGCTCAGGAATTCTGGGAGTTGAAGTCCATGAGTCATAAAAGAGCCAAGGTTTCCTACCCCTGATCTATACAATAAGAGCCAAGGAGATTGCTTCTATTCATTTTTGTAATCTCTTCAGAGGTTTTTCCGAAATTTGGAGACCAGGCATAAAACTAAAATGGAATTAAACAATTCAACATGAATTAAACAATTCAACAAGAAAATCTTCAGAAAAAAGTAAAAAGTCTGTAAGAAGATTTGGAGAAACCCAAAGCGGCTAAACTACAGCTCCAAGCATTCTTCAGCAAAGACCAGTGGGCCAGGAGGCTGCTGTGATGTGCAGTTTAACATCTGGATGCTGAGTTTTCTTGTTGAATTGGTTAAACACACCATCATGTAAAATTACCAAGATTCCACCCCAATAGGGTATCTTTATAAGGAAGACCGATTCATCAATTGCGCTGACCAGACTCGCAAAAGCTATTCCAGTGATTCCTATGCATATCTGTGAGATCTGTAAACAGAGAAAAGTAATAATTTCAGTTTCAGCCATCACTTTCAACTCATACGCCACAACCAAACCAACAGAGCAGGAGGGCAGAGGGGCATGCCAAAGTAGGATTACATTGTATCCCATTGCCTCCCAAAACTTTAAACTTTATTGAAATAATACATTTTAAAGTGGGATATCTAACTATAAATGCCATTCACCTGCAGATACAACCTTTCCCACAATGTGGAGAACCAACAATCCTCCAGATGTCACTGAACTGCAACTCCCAGCCTCTGTCGGCATTGGCCACTGGTTTGGATGACTATTGTTCACCAACAGAACAATATTTGTTCTGTTCTCTGCACAACCTATTTCTTTCATGTCATCTTAGCTACTGGCCAGTAGGAGGCACTATGCAATCAGTTTCCTCTATCTATGCCAGTGGTGGCGAACTTATGGCACACGTGCCAGAGGCGGCACTCAGAGCCCTCTCTGGGGGCACGCGCACCATGCCCTGGAGATGGCAACTGTCCCTCTTCAACCAGCCGCCCGCTAACTTGCCGAGGTCCCACATGGCTGGATGCATCCCAGCACCCATGTCTCGCTGGCCTCTGTGTGCAGGGGCTGATGGTGTCAGGCAGCAGCCGCCCTGGCCCCTACCTCACCTTGCCCTGTGACAATGGCACCCCCACCCTGCCTCGCCTTGCCTCGCCTCACCCCGCAGGACAAGCCTCCTGCCCATTGCCCCACCTGCCGGAGACCCCCCCTGGATCTCCCCCAACGCTGCCCAACCCCCACAGGCGTCCCTCCCCACGAGCAACATTGAGGTGACCACGCCTACCTTGGCCACACCCGCTCAATCTGCCATGACCACCACAGCCACGCCCATCCAGTGGGCCACGCCCACCTGAAACCCGGCAATAAATAAGTGGGTTTTGGGTTGCAGTTTGGGCACTCGGTCTCTAAAAGGTTTGCCATCACTGGTCTATGCGGACTCATCAGGCACAGACATTTTCAAATTCAATACACTTTATAACATTCTTTCACTCATTCTTTTCTGTTTCAAATTTCAATAGATATTTTTACATTTTAGCAATTTCATGTTCACAATTGTACCCCATTCTATTTCAAATTCAGTCATGTTCAGATGATTCAATCGTGGTCAGCATATATGAATTTTAAGGAAGCATCTGTCCTTCATAAAGGAAAGGCACAAATCCAGCTCTAGAAAAAAGCTTGTCTGTAAGATCACGTGAAGTATTAATACCACTTTACAAGGCCTTGGGGAGGCCACACTTGGAATACTGCATCCAGTTTTGGTCACCACGATGCAAAAAAGATGTTGAGACTCTAGAAAGAGTACAGAGAAGAGTAGCAAAGATGATCAGGGGACTGGAGGCTAAAACATAAAGAACAATTGCTGGAATTGGGTATGTCTAGTTTAATGAAGAGAAGGACGAGGACATGATAGCAGTGTTCCAATATCTCAGGGGCTGCCACAAAGAAGAGGGAGTCAAGCTATTTTCCAAAGCACCTGAAGGCAGGACAAGAAGCAACGGATGGAAACTAATTAAGGAGAGACGCAACCTAGAACTAAGGAGAAACTTCCTGACAGTTAGAACAATTAACCAGTGGAACAATCTGCCTCCAGAAGCTGTGAATGATCCAACACTGGAAGTTTTAAAGAAGAGACTGGACAGCCATTTGTCCGAAACAGTATAGGGTTTCCTGCCTGAGCAGGGGGTTGGACTAGATGACCTTCAATGTCTTCCAACTACTACTACTACTACTACTACTACTACTACTACTACTACTTATTATTATTATTATTATTACTATTACTATTATTATTATTATTTCAGCAAGTCAGAGAATGCAAGTATTATCTCTAGCGGATGGAGACCTGTGTCAGACGAATCAGCTCATTTTGTGTCTCTCCAATCTTTCGCCCAATTGTTTTCTTGCTCTTGGAAGGAATGAGCCTGGGTGGCACTCCAGAAATACAACTCCCAGCATCCCCCACTGCAGCCATTATAAATAATTTATTCACCCCTGGAAGACCCAATCTTGCAAAATGGCAAGACATTCATGACCAAACTAAACAGGAATGTCTATTGCTCTGGTTTAATTGCCTTGCAAGGATGGGGACAGCTAGATTATCCTGCACTATATTCCAAGTGTCATTCCAAAGGAGAGGCACCATCATTCCACTCATCTCCGCACTCACCCCCAGGGCCACAGGTTCACCCTGATAAAACTTCTTCACTGGGACCAGATGATCAGGCTCAGTGGAGGAAGACAGGGAGCGTGCACCCATAACCACAGGAGAATCCATACTGGGCTTTCCAAAAAAGGGTCCTTTAGGCCAGCCAAGTCAGCAATGATGGAGACCATGAAAAGGAACGGAAAAAAAGAGAACATATAAAAGACACCATCCCCTTCCTCTAATTTCCCATTGCTCAATATTTAATTTCTGCATCAAGAAGCCTATAAGGAATGCAGTTTGCGGGTCTGTATCACCATCCAAGGGGATTCCTAAGCTGCTAGGTGGCCTTTAGCAACTTCCCAAGAGTTTCTTCACCCCTGACGGACATCAGCATTTCAAAGAGGCTGAACATCCCCAATCCACCCTCTGCCATAGATTTACGGGACTTGTGTTGCAGTGATGCAACAACACTTAAGCAACCACTGAGCGAAATTTACTATAACGCACATGTTTTTGGTGCACTATACGCTGAACCACGCCGCCAACAGGGCTGGAAACACACAGGTGCCAAGCCCTCCTCCCCGGCAAAAAGCTAAACAAACAAACAAAAAACCCCAATCCATTTTAAAATTTACAGGATTGAGGGCGTCGCGCGAATGAAGCTTCTGGGTTCAGACCCAACAGGGTAAACCTCAACAGCCACCCCGAAGGCCCCCAATCTACCGCCCCGGATACGCGTGGAGCCATTGCTCAGCTGCTCGCGCGGGTCGTGCGAAACCAGGATTCTTCACAACGCGCGTTAGAGAAGCGGCCCCCGCCCAGAGAGCCGCCGCTCCGATCTGGCGGAAGGAAGCTCAGAAGCGAATCCAGAAGCAGCGCCTCTTTGCGCGGCCCGTCCCCGCGGAGCAGCCCCCTTCCCTGCCCACCGACTGCCGCCTCCGCGACTCCGCAAAGACGAACCGCTCGCCTCGGCGGCGCTCCGTCCTCTCGGCCTTTTCAGCCGCTGCCCAGCGTTACTCGAGGCCCGCCCGGGAGGAGGAGGTGATTCACCCAAGCAGTCTTGTTTTTACAACATAGAGCCCGTAGGGCTCTCTCGGAAGCGTTTCTGCTTCCTGACGATTACCTCACTTTGTGTTGTAATGCAAGCGGATAACGAACTAGAAAATTTTTGCAAGAGTGGTGGAAACGGGAGAGAAATGTATAAAGTGGATGGATAGGATCAAGGAGACTGTAAGAATATTCTTGGAAGAACTGTGGATTGTCTATGTAAGATGGACAGTGATTAACATGTTATGTGTTTATATTGTAAGGGTGTAGGTATAGAATAGAATAGAGCTGGAAGGGACCTTGAAGGTCTTCTAGTCCAGCCCCCTGCTCAAGCAGGAGAACCTTTACTGTTGAGTCCTTAGCGCAAAGCAGACACGAGAAGCAGTTGGAGTTCTCAGTTTTCTTTATTCTGCGTTCAGCTTACAAGTAGATGGCTTCATGGCTTCCCAAACGCTCGCAGCCTCTTACATAGGCAACTCCCGGGTAATTGTGTTACTTTTCCCACGCCAGCACCCGCGCATGCGCATGGCGCTGGCAACAGCCTGTCTGGTCCCGGGCAGCTTTGCACCTGCCCGGGACTGCCTGCAAACGCCCGAGCCGTTTGCAAGGCTCGGGACATAACACCCCTTTCCCCCCGGGCTAAAACTATTACCAACATATAATCATTTACTCTATACAATGTTCCGTTCCCCAGTGCTCCCACTGTTTGCTGGCTTTTGCCTTGCCAGCAATGTTATATAATCCTCTAGGTACTTAGGAGATTTCTTTGCTCTCTGTGACCTTCTCAGCTCTGGGTTACTAGCATGAGTTTCCTGACTGGAGGGAGATGTGAGCCTGTTCTCCTTATTTTGCCTTGGTGCCTTCCAAGGACTATGCCCCGATGCCTGGCCTGCTTGCTCGCCCACCGGGCTCGTCAGGCCAGGGCTTCTGTCACTTTGTGACCTGGTTGACCTGCCTAGCTGTAGACCCTCGGGCCCCTTGAAGTGATAGCCACTGCTGGGCGTCTCTGTTGAACCTCCTAGGTCCGTCCAAGACCTGTCAGGAGGCTGTCCATTCCCTGAACCCCGTTCTGTGTCCGGGCTTGTGTGGGTTTCTGTACCTTCCCAAAACTCAGTTACTCCCTGATTTGGGCTAGAGGTGTTGTAGTCGGGACTTGGTTCCTCGACCACCTCCCTGTATGTTTGACCCCCTGTAGGATTTGGGGTAAGGTCAGGCCAACCTTGGGGATTGTGTGCCAGCTCTCTTGCGGGGAATGATTTGTTGGGATGCCTCCGGGTATCCTCCATGACTGGAGTGCTGTGTGATATGTGTGGAAAGTGAGTATGCCCCCGGGGTGACTCCCTGGCTGGAGTAGGCGTGGATGCCTGGTAGTTGGGTAGGCTCATAGAATTCTTGTTCGGAGCTCTCGCGGAACCCTGGAATGGGCCGTTTGTGGCTCCATCAGTGGAGATGGGCAGCAGCTCGTGCCCTTCCCTTTGCTCCAAAGGGTCCCCCTCCCCCTGGAAAAGACCCAGGAGTCTCATCTGAAAGGTCCCGCCTAGGGCGGAGTTGGTCGATGTGCCGACGCAGGACACGACCGTTGTCCAGGGCTACCTCGTAGGAGAGAGGACCTGTGACCCTGGAAATAGAAGCGGGGACCCATGTATGACCAGGCCCGTAATTGCGAGCCCAAACCGGGGCACCCACAAGTAGTTGTCTAGGTGCCCTAGGATGTGAGGTAGATGAAGGCAATCTGTCCGGATGCAACCGGTCAAGTTTAGTAGTAAGTTCAGCTGGGCTTCTCCCTGTAGAAGTGGACGGTGTGGTGCGATAAGAAGGAGAAAGTCAGCCAACCTGTGATGCCAGTCCCCGTAGGTGAGTCTTTTCAATGCGTCCTTTGTGATGCGCACCATACGTTCAGCCATACCGTTGGGGGACGGGTGGAAGGGTGCAGACGTGGCATGACGAATCATGTTTGCCTGTAAGAAAGCTTGGAATTCGGAGGAAGTGAATTGAGGGCCGTTGTCGGACACAATGACATCTGGCAGCCCGTGTGCAGCAAAAATCCCCCTCAGTACCTGAATAGTCTTTGCAGTGGTGGTGGATGAGACAGGTACAACCTCAAGCCATTTCGAATGGCTGTCAACAAGGACCAAGAAGAACTGGCCCTGAAAGGGTCCAGCGTAGTCAATGTGCACCCTAGACCATGGGGACTGTGTTTCCTCCCATCTATGCACGGGAGCTTGGGGCATCTCTGGGCGAGATCGTTGGCACAGGTGGCATGCATGCACCTTAGCCTCAATATCTTTATCTAAACCAGGCCACCACAAGTGGCTGCGCGCAAGAGCCTTCATACGAACAATGCCAGGATGACCCTCGTGGAGGGATTCTAAGACCCTAGTCCTCATTGAGGTGGGAATGACAACTCTGTTTCCCCAAAGCAGACAACCCTGAGAAAGGGACAGCTCGTTCCTTTTGGACCAGAAACTCTGAAACTCAGGACTAGGGCAGTGCTCAGGCCAACCAGACAAAACCCAGGAACGGACACGTGAAAGTGTGTGATCTGTACCTGTTTCAGCGGCAACATCCCTGGCACTAAGAGGGAGCTCGGGCAAGGCTTGGATTGATAGAATGTTGACAGCTGGCGCAGGGTCAGCTTCTACTACTGGCAGAGGCAATCTACTGAGGCCATCAGCATGGCCCATTTCTTTCCCAGGCTTGTGGAGTAAAGAAAAATCATATGCAGACAAAAAAATAGACCACCTAAGCATTCTAGGGGAAATGATTTGGGGAGTCTGCTTACGTGTGGTAAACAGTCCCAGTAGAGGCTTATGGTCAGTGAAGACCATGAAGTGCCTGCCATATAGAAAGTCATGGAATTTTTTAATTCCAGCAACAACAGCCAGAGCCTCCCTGTCTATCTGAGCGTAGTTGCGCTCAGCAGAAGACAATGTTCTGGAGTAATATGCAACAGGAACCTGAGTTCCATCAGACCTGAGGTGGCTCAGGACAGCTCCAACCCCGTAGGGGGACGCATCACAAGCGATGCACACAGGAAGAGACTCGTTGAAATGTGCAAGTACACTGTTAGAAGTGAGCAAAGCCTTGACTTTGTTAAAACAACCCTCATGCGTTTGTGACCACTGCCACACTGCTTGCTTGTCTAGTAGCCTGTGAAGAGGCTCAGCTACACTAGCTTTTTGTGGAAGAAAAGAATTGTAGAAATTCAGGAGGCCCAGGAAGGCCTGAAGTTCGGCCTTGGACTTTGGCCTAGGTGCTTCTAAAATAGCTGTCAGTTTGGATTCAGCAGGGTGAATCCCAGCAGCATCAATTTTGAACCCCAGAAATTCAGTAGAAGGCACCCCAATCTTGCATTTGTCTTTTTTGAGCTTGAGGCCTGATTTCCTGAATCTTAACAGAACAGCCCTTAGCCGTTCAGCTAGAATGTGTGTGGAGTCTCCTGCAATCAAAACATCATCAAAGTAGGGGCAAACCCCTGGTATACCTCGTAGTGTGTTTTCCATTACGCTTTGGAAGATCCCAGGAGCGACATTCACTCCAAACTGTAGCCTTTTTACTTTAAAGGCCCCTCTGTGGGTCACAATAGTCTGAGCTATAGCAGCATCATCATCAACAGGCAGCTGTTGATATGCTTGAGCTAGGTCAAGCTTTGCAAAAACACGCCCCCCCTTGAGGGAGGCCAGAATGTGACTGACCACAGGAACAGGATAGGCATGTTGCTGCAATGCCTTATTAAGAGTGCATTTGTAATCAGCACAAATGCGAATGTCCCCATTTGCCTTTAGAGGCGTGACAATGGGGTCTCCCAAGGACTGGAATCAACAGGTTCTAGAATTCCCTGTTGGATCAGTTTGTCTAACTCAGTGTCAATTTTACTCTTTAAAGCAAAAGGGACCCTTCTTGCTTTAATTCTAATGGGAGTGACAGTGGGGTCTAGCTTTAAGGACACAGGGGGTCCTTTGAATGTGCCCAGCTGGGGGCTGAAAACATCTGCAAATTCTTTGCAGACTTCCTGTAGGTCGAGTGTTTGTAAACTGTTGAGTCCTGTGACGTGTATCCCCAGGGCCTCAAACCAATCGAGTCCTATGAGACTCGTTCGTTCACCCCCTACTACTAATAAGTCTAGTGGACCTTCAAAACTCTTGTATTGCACGTTAAGGGTGGCCTCCCCCTTAACACACACTCTTGAATTTTGAAAATCTGTTAACACAATGTCAGAAGGCCTTAACTTGGCCTGAGTTCCACTACCGGAACAAATCTTCCTAAATGTATGCAAGGAGATGATTGAAAGGGCAGACCCTGTGTCTAGTTCCATAGATTAATGGAACCCCTTGTAGCTTCACCTTGAGTGACAGCTTTTTCTTAATGGGCTTGTGTGTGCCTGTCCTAAGGATGCTTCTTCGCGAAGCGCAAAACCCTACCCTATTCTGGCTGGGGAATCTGGCTCCTTTCAGGCGCAGTTCTTCCTGAGGTTGTACCTTTCGTTGGCCCAGACACACAGCTGCAATGTGTCCTTGTTTGCCGCATGCCCGGCAGGTAGCGGAGCGGAACTTGCAGTCGGTTCTCCTGTGGCGACCTCCACAGCCGATGCACTTGAGCGGAGCTGAAGAGCTTCCCTTCTGTTTTTCTTCCTTCGTGGGGTGGAGACGGTCGACTTCCTCGTCCGGATCCTCCTCGGAGTTTCTTTGGACGTCTTCCTGGTGCACGGATGCAACCTCTGGACTGTTTCTGATCGGCCGCATGTTCTTGACAGCGCTGCCTGCTGCTTCTTCTGCGGTGACTTCCCTTAAGGCATCTTGGAAGGACAATTCTTCTTTAGCGAAAAGTCTCTGTTGTAGATCTCGATGCCTTAACCCGCACACGAATC